ACACGAGGGACGTATGATTCCAACAGGATGACCCAACATGCAATGCAGCCAGGGATGCAATCACACTTGCGCCTAACAGTTTTCCCGGGCACATCACTCCTCGTTTCGGTGGCATGACCAGGCCATCGAAATCCGAAGACCTTGCTCTTGACACCTTGCTTTCCTTATGATAAAATTATCAGAGCACTGACCTTTGGGGGGTCGCTGCTCTTTGTGTGGGATTTTACAGTGTTGGCTTCCCTCTCGCAGGATCGATCTCGTATTATTTTTTTATATGCAAGATTTTTAAAGACCGTCACGAGATTTTACCCCGAGAGGATGGTTACCGGTTGACTCGGATTTTGCCGCAGGGGCTCGAGAAATGTTTTTCCTTCGCGTCGGAGAGCACTCGGGCCCTTCCTCGCATCCTCGTCGAGGAAATCCTTGGATGAAATTTAGTGGAAAATCTTTGGAGAGTGGAAGAAAGAGACGCGGATATAAGGAGAGACAGGAAGGACTAATGAGTGGATGTAAGAACGGGGAAGAAGGATAAAATACCCCGTCTATAGTCTTCCCTTCCCTTCCCAATTCCTTTTCGCAGCCTTCTCCTCCTCGAGATGGATGCTATACATTAGAGCGAGCGGTGGAGCGCGAAATGAGCTCTTTTGTGCCTCCTGTCTGCCAACTTCTAACCATTCCCATTCATTAATGAGAAAGGGAGAAGAAGCTCATACCGTTCCCTTCGCACCCCTCCCCCCTCTCATATTCACCAACCGATAGGAATTTCGTAATTGGAAGTCACAAAAGGGGCATTCCAGTCACGATATCCTCCTTGATGAATTCGGTTCATGTCTTGATTTCCAACTTCCTCGCCCGGTTAGCTCGTGCATTCCGTTCTGACGCGTTCCTTGCAAGCGATCGAAGGACCAGAGAGGGGAAAATGTAGCTTTCCCTTTCGCACGATGAGAGTCTATTTCATAGCAGCCATGAACACTCGTTTCGGTCGGTACTACACGAAGACGCGAACGTCCATTTTCAGGATCGATTCCACCGAAGCGAATTAGCCGAATGGTCGGGTTTTAGAACGTGCCACGTGTGCGACTGGACGGGGAACAACGTTTGAGTGGGAGAAAAAGGGAAAAGGGAAGAAAAGTAGAGGCTCTGCTAGCTTTATTTTCGCGAGTTTTTACATGCTAAAACATTTTTGTGGTAACCAAGTGAAAACGGTAGAACCAAGAAACCAGATGAATAATATCTTCAGAAATAGGTCTAACGTTTATAAAGAAAAATGGACGTTTCAGACATGTTATTTTGTCGAGGAAAACGAGAGAAGCACTGAGATGAATGCATTTTGACCACCGACCAGAGTCTCATTCGCGAAGTTGCACAAATCTTCTTCCGAAAGTGTTCTTGGCTGGTCCACACCTGCATTTGATAGTCGGTCTCAATTTTCTGTCATCTGGATACTCAAATAATCTATTTATATTCTTTCCTTGTCGTTTCATTGCATGCGAGGAATGGAACAGAATCGAAAACAGATTTCTCGAAGATCGCTCTCCTGATGGCATTGATAAAACTGTAAAAAGTTTGATCAAAATTCTAGGGGATCCGTTCCCCGATCGGGAAAATGGGACGTTCGGCCCAAGGATCCAAGGCGACCGCTCCAGGCGACCCATTCAGACCGAGAGAAGCAAATATACAAAAATAGATCTCCCGCTGCAGGGTTTGAAGGGATCACGGGAATTCGTGCAACACCCACTGGGTCGCGAAACGAACCTAATGTCGCCTCGATCGTGTTTCGGGTTTACTTCTGACGCTATGCACTACAAGACAGGAAAATAAAGCCATCGTAATTGCTTCGAAAGAATTTACATCTGAATATGAAACTTTCGAAAGAGAAGTCGTGCACGACTTCGGAGTCTCACCCTCTCATCCGACTGAATTGACCTGTTGAGGGGCATGAGAGCTTCTCTCAATTCCTTCTCACTTATGCTTCCAAAGGGAAGAGGGAAAAAAAAACATGAGAGGCAGGAATAGGGGGAAAAGAGAGAGAACCAAAAGCGAGGGAGTATCAGATTATCAATCGTGTAATTCCTGGAAGATTCGTGGAAGGTAGTATATCGGGTGGAACTCCTAAAGAGTCGAGGAGAGAAGCATATCGGGAAAGCATGCCATAAAGTCTATTCATGACCCTGCCTTCACATTCTCAATTACTACTAACTCTCACGGAGTCAGAAACTCCGGAAAAGGCTAAAAGTGGCCGAGACACTGCCCAGGGACATTCAATTTTATGGAAGTGCCCATTCCAAAGGATTTGTTGAGCTTCCAAGAAACGCATTGCACGAGGTCATCAGATTCAGAAGAGACGCGTCCTAAGTATCGATGACTCTTGCAGGCCTCTAGCAAACTTGTAATGTTCGGGATGCTTTTCTGCTGATATTCAATTTGGCTGTTTTTTGATACTTGAGACAAGTGGAGAAATTATTTGCGAGTCAATACATTTTATACTAGTTTATAATTTTTTTAAATATTCAGTACCCAGTAACAAAGATTACTGGACAAATATTGGCCCTGCGTTGGACCAATATTGGTCCAATATATCATTACTGTACAACTGGGGTATTATATTATTGGTCAGTAAAGACTTAGAAAAATTACTATCGATATCATTTTCCGGAAACACGTGTTTTTTACTTTTTTTTAAAAATGCAAGTTCTTCGTTTTCAAATAATCCAGGTGTGCTCTAGGATAAACCTGGGGACCACACCAAGAACAGACTGTCTTCAAGTCGCCCCAGTCTACAAAGAAACTTAAAACTGCTCTCCACAGTATCACTTCCAGACGTGGCAGTAGTCACGAGAGCAACGTTTATAAGCTCTGCAGGGTTCAGGAGGCATTAAGGCAGGCGAGGGCTTTCGGAGTTCAAAGAGAAAAAAAAAAAGACCTCATGATTGTTGTGAAGTACTTATCCCACTTCACGGTACAGAAAACCGATGACAATAGAGAAGTATGCGGGGTGATAAAAAAAAAGGTTTTAAGCCTAAGGCACTTCCAGTTGCGCTATACCATTCTTACTCATAAAAAGACAGATGTATTTGATGGTGATTGGCAAAATATCAGCATATTTGTCAATTAAATATAGCTTCTATTAATTTTTTCCCGATGTGCTTCCCAAAGGTCTGTTGCAGAGCTATTAGAATTGAGGCGAATGATGTGATGAAGCTAAGAGGATAGAGCTCCACTGATACTTTCATGAAAGATCTGCGGGGGAGATCGACTCATTAGAGGTTAGAAAATTCATCACAGCATTCATCTCAAATGTAAAACCACTTCAGCAGACCCCTTTAGTAACACATTGAAAAAAATAATAGAATCTATCTTTAATCGACAAATATGATGAAATTTTGTCAGTCACCATCAAATACATCTGTTTTCTCATGAGAAGAGTAAGAATGATGAAGTGCAACGGGAGCGTGCCTCAGGCTTAGAACTTTTTTTATCACATAGATTTCAATGGGTAAAGACCTGAACTTTTCTCCTCGATGCTCGGATACCAAAACATTCGTGCACTGGAAACTTTTCTTCACTTCGGCTTTAACTTTACTTCTGCCAGTAGAGCAGAGAGCATTACGAACCGTCTATGAAGTTCACGAAGTTATAGATCGAGGGCGAAATTAACGCCCTTGTTTCCCAGTTTCCTCAACGCCCACTCTTTCAATAAATCATCTCCGCTTTGCCTTTCCTCGTGCCTTCTCTGTACACTCCCACGAATTCATCTGCCTGCCAAGGAATACGATCACTAATAATCCCACGTCTGCCACCCTCTATCCCGACTATCCTCTGTCCGACGCCTCTCTCTTGTGCCATGCCGACTATTCCATCCGATCGACCCGGATATCTTCAGCGACTTCAAGCGTCTACGAACGTCTGACAGTCTGCTGCACTCTGCCTAAAACTCTTTTTCCTTCCATGAGTTACTCCACATCATTACCGTCTACAGCGTTTCTGGATTGACTTTTACCCACCGAACTCAAACCCAAACTTGTCAACAGCGATGGAGAGACACCTAATAATAGTAATCATCACTAATTGCGAAGAGGTATACCGAGGAGTGAAGGGGATAGAGCGACATCCTTCTCTCAGCTGCTCTTGCACAACTTGACGATAGACTTTGCAGAAAGGCACTAAGCACTTGTAAACGGCGGAATAGCTGATGTTACAGGGGGGAAAGGGGGGAAGGGGGGGGGGGTGGAAGGGTTTAGATGGGTTGAGTTAGCTGGCGTTCCAGAATCAGGGGGTGCAGTTATGGACCTAGGGCCTCTAACGTCCGGTACCTTTTCGTATCGTATTTCTTTATGGCAATTAAGTAATCGACTGCGTCATTTTTCAATCGTCACGAACTAGATTGAAAGCGGATGGAGAGTGTGCAGGGAAAATACATCGTTATATGAGTTCAAATACGGAAGACATGATGTTAAAGAGACGAGAGTCAGATGCAGATTCAGTTGTTATTTTCTCATCGGGATGGATCTTCATCTATCTCTTTTCTCTGCACTCTGCATTCCCCTCGTACAATCATCAAGAAGGCTAAAGCTCTGCGCTCTTGATTATCCAGAGTATATGCGCATTTCCTTCGCTCTAATCTGCTCTTGTGAGAATATAATGATTTCCTCTGGAAACAAGGACTCCTCGCTCTCCCCTTACATAATCCACCATACAACGGCAATTGAGTACTCCATCCTTGTCGATTGAATAAATGAAGCCTAATAATTTTGGGGCGATGTTTGCATTTATTCTTGCAGAAATGGGAATGACCATCCATGATCTTCAGTTCCAAGAACTCTCCACAAGGCGTAAACTAGAGCGTTGGCACAACCTTGCTGACATCTACCGGAGGGGATAGGAATGCAAACTGTGGCTGATGAACAGACGACAGAGAGCGTTGCACTTCAGCATGTTTGGGATCATGGCGCCGGCCGCCAACTGGAGCGGAGTCAGACCAGCTGTTCAGCCTTGGTAAGTTAGCGCAACTCCGATTCGTTCGAGCCATTTTGTCTTTTATGTTTACCCCCTCCCGTTGCAAGAAGGCCTGTAGATACTGCCTATTGCCATTTTTATGTTGTTACTCGAAGTTTGTGGACAAATTGGAGGAACTAAGTGGACTCGACAACTTCTGGGGATGCCATCTATGACGCATTCTAGGAAAAAAATTTTGAAATACAGCATTTAGCCTTCGCGCAGAAGTGCCATTGGCCAGTGGTTTTCAAAGTTTTAATTCAGTTCCCCATTTTTAGAACATATTTCTCCCCACCGCTCCCACTAAGTGTGGCTTGTAAGCGCTTCTGCCATTTCTTTGGTCCTGTACTCGGCCTTTATTTTTGTCACTCACGTCATTGCTTGGATGACTTGCACACTCCACAATTTGAAAACTGCTATCATAGGCTAAAGTAAACCCTAAAGCTATTTGATCCACCCCAGAGACTTGGGGATAGGTGAGTGGCTCATCTAGTAGTGATTGGAGCCAAGGTACCTTCCTTTGTAAACCAGGCTCCAAAACGATCAATTCAGATGTTTATTATTTATTTCTGAGTACCAGCACTGGTGTGCTTGGGATAGATCCCTCCCTACCAAACACAAAGAATTACCATCTTCTGATGTGGGATGTCAATGGAACCATGGTGTTACAGGCTCAGTCCAGGTAGTGTATCCTGCAACAACTTTTTGGGCCAAAGTGGGTCTGCAGGGGTATAGAGGCCAGCTTTCTTGTTAGAGGAGGCTACAAGCAGGTGAGTTTTAAATGAGAGGGAGGATTAGACTGGATTCCAGTATCAGGAAGCACCGAAGGGGTTTCAACCCTCCTTCGCATTGCAGTTTATTGTACACATTATTATACAGGCTTTACATGCTAGGGCAGATGAAAGTGGGCAGGGCTGTATCAGCCATGTAAATCATGCAGCAACTCTTGTATGCTGTGCTCATATTTTATCAGTGAGGATGACTCCATTACCCTTATCCACTTCTCAATTGGATTCAGTTCTTGATATTGATCAGCCAGCAATGAAAAGTTGGAACCATTTGAATCATCTGACATTTAAATTTTATCTGAAGGGATAAGAGATAGGGATTGAATGATTGGTCTCATCTTCCAACTTATGTTGGGTTGATTTTCATGCCCATATAGGGACTAGGAATGCATACAGAGGGCTAGATGTCAAATGAATTGACTTTGTCATTTTCTTCTCTATAGATATGCTCAGAGGAGAGATAGGTCAATTAGCATGGGTAGCAAGAAGCACAAACGTCATCGTGGTGAAGGAGGAGCCACTCCAGACCATGAGGTTTCCATAGATGATCCACCAACTATGACTGCTGAAACGTCTGAGACACGACTGCCAGGCCTCAAGCTTATCTTGAAGGTGGGCTCTGGTGGTTCAGCAACCCCAGAGCGAGTTGCATCTCCCATGCCTGGTTTGAGTCATCACAGCCATCATGATGAGCATCATTCTCATAAGAAGAAGGAGAAAAAGAAGAAAAAGAAAAAAGAGAAGGACCGAGACAAAGAGAGACATAAGCATAAGCATCACCATCGTGATCGGGAGCATCATCGGAAGCGGGATTATAACATTGAAAGATTGGAAGAAGAAAGAAGAAGCTTAACACCAACAGGGGTGGTGGAGAATGTAAGTGGAAATGTGAGCACAACATCTTCGATTCGTGGCCCAAGCAGTCCAGGTGCAATTAGCAACACCAGTGGAGGTGATCGTCCTATACGCACCTGTGTCCTCAAGAAGCAGAAGGAAAGGAAGCCCTTGAATGACCTCCTGGAGTATCTTTTAAAATGTTTTGAGAAGAAGGACCCACAGCAGTTCTTTGCATGGCCAGTGACAGACAATATAGCTCCAGGCTATTCTTCTATTATCACCCATCCCATGGACTTCTCTTCAATGCGAGGCAAGATAGTTGGAAATGAATACACCTCCCTGGATGATTTTCGCTCCGACCTGGATCTGGTTTGTCGTAATGCCCAGACCTACAATCATCCTGAGACTGTGTACTTCAAGGCAGCCAAGAAGCTTCAGCATTATGCTCATAAACTTATGTCCAAGGAGAAGCTTACTTCCTTAAGGACAGAATTACCATGCTTGGTTGAGATTCCAGCTTCTGAACTGGGTTTTGTAGTGAAGCCACCAACACCCCCGCCCATGCTGGGTGAACCAATGGACACCACTGAGGTGGTTCTGGCTGAAAATGCAATGAAAACAGAGGAAAGTGCCAGTGCAAATGATGAAGTTACAGAGAAGAGAGAAGGGAGTAGAAAGAGAACATATTCTGATGACTTGACCCCAGAGGAGATCTACACTTTAGCTCAAGCTGCATCCCAAGGTGCATGTGAACAATTGACAATGCGGAAGGCCAATGCCAAACTGAGTTTCTTGCGGCAGAGGGATGATGGGACAACGACACTGAATGTTGTCTGCCCAACTGTGGGTGAAGAAAGACCTGTAAATTTGGGAATGTTGACCAACAAACTTTCACAAGGTCTGGGAAGCATAGCTGGATTTCGAGAGGACAAGCGAAACCTATTGAAGACAGTGAAACCCCTCTACTATGGACCATTCTGCTCTCATGGACCTTCATATGATTCCCAATTTGCAAATGTTAGCCTGGAAGAGTCACAGCTCCTTCTCTCAACCTATGCAGATGAGTCAGCTCTCCAGTATGCAGAAAGTATCATGAAGTTTGCTGAGGACACAGACTATACCTTAAACATCGCAAATAATCTCCTGGACTCCCTGACAGATGGAGATCACTCAGCCATCAGAGCAACTCTACTAGTTGGAAAGGAGGGGTCCAAGGGGAAAGATACTGTTGCTGACATATATCAGCAGGATACAGATGAAAATAATGACATTGACTTTGATTCCATTCGATCCCTTGAGAGTATGGGAATTGATGTGTCATTCCTGAATGAAATGCAGGAGACAATGAAGAAAGAGCTTGAGCTTCAGAAGGGCCTTGATGAAAATGCCAAGACATTAAAGGAGCTGCATGAAATGCAGCACACTCGACTAAGTCTCCCATTACCGCAGCACCTGTCCAACGTTGTAGTAGCATCTGACCAAGAACATGCATTGGCAGAACAGGTAGTGAATAACCTGGGAGGGATGCTGCAGCAAGTGCCTCCTGGAAGTGTTACACCCTTGGTTAGCATAAGGAAGGCAATGGGAATAGGGATGCAGATGCAAAGGCCTGTCAACAATGATCTTGTTGATGAACTTGATAAACTTATTGGAGAAGCTGCACAAAATGCTGCATGAGATCTATTTTTTAATGGACTATACCATTGAATGGATACCATTATGCTACAGTGCTTGCAATGCTTTTGTCACTTGTCTTTTCATCTCATACCTTTCAAAACTTTTTTGTTCAAAAGTGACAGGCTCCCTGTAAGAAATGAACTTATATAATTTTTTTAATTTTGGATATAATTTCATGCATTGATTCTCATGCATGCAGTTCAACAAGCCAAAAGAGATCTAGACCAATGGTAGAAGTGTTTTCATTCCTTTGCATCATCCATCAACCAGTTCAACTCTCGTTCAATAAATTTTCAGTATTTGGGGAATAAAGAATTTACATCATTTGGGGAATGAGAGGACTCATCCTTTGTGACCTTCCTGGTCAACTTCTTTGTTTGTATTCTCTTGATGCAAAATGAACTTTTTCAAAAGTGTTAGCTCCATTTTCTGAGGATTCAAAGATTGAGTGTCTTTGATGATTTAGGAGTTCCCATTCCTGTTCAATTTTAAGTCAAAAGCTATCATATACAGGGTGTTAAGAACATTGTGTCCCATTGCAATATGCCTATAACCTCAGCAAAAATGAAAAAGTCAGGAAATTTTTTTTGAATACACAATAACAAGGACAGTTAACCGATTTAGAATTACTTAATAGTTTTCAATATAGCTGCCCTTGGCACGAATGACAAGGTTCAGATGACCCATGAAAGCATAGATTGATTTTTGCAGGACTTCCAGTGGAATTTGCTCCCATTCTCAGTTCAGGGATAGCTTGAGAGAATCCAAAGAATGGTGCTTTGTAGTACACACTTTGCTCTCCAAGATGGACCAAATTGAAAAATTTAGGGGGTTGACATTGGGGGAGTAAGGGAGCCATTGTGAAGTCAAAATGAACTCGGGGACATTTGTCCACTGTCACTCTTGGGTCATCTGCACCTTGTGAGCTGGTGCTGAGTCCTGCTGGAAGAGGCAGCTGCCTCCATCGAAATATTTCATGGCCCACAGAACCAGGCAGTCTTCCAGGATGCTTTACTGGTATACTTCAGCATTGACCTTCATCTTCTCAGGCACAAAAACGAGCAGAGTGTGTCCAGAAGTGGTAATACTGACCCAGACCATTACAGAAGCCACTCCTTGATGCTGAGCAGCTAGAAAAAATTCAGATTTAGATTTTTTAATTTGGTCCATCTTGGAGAGCAAAGTATGAGCTACAAAATGCCATTCTTTGGATTCTCTCAAGCTATCCCTGAACCAAGAATGGGGGGTGAATCCTGCAGGAAGTCTTGCAAAAATCAGTCTATGCTTTCATGGGTCATCTGAACCTTGTCATCCATGGCAAGGGCAGCTATATTGAAAACTATTAAGTGATTCTACGTCAGTTAACTATCCTTGTTATTGTGTATTCAAAAAAATTTCCTGATTTTTTAATATTTGCTGATGCATACTGCGATGGGACACAACTTTGACACCCTGTAAGATAGGGCATGCCATCATTACTAAGAATAACCCTGAAATGGTATACCTCATCTGTACTCTCTCCAAGAGCAAAGATATAACAACAATTTTCCAGTCATTTCTGTATTGGCATGTTTGGACTTGAAAAAAGTCAGAGTGTAATTACTATAATCATCTGTATCTTCCTGAAGACCTTGGTCATTGAGAAATACAATTTTTGCTGTAATAGGGTAGGGGTCTTGCCCTGTGGTGAGCATAAAATGTAATAGTTATCAGGATGTAAGTTGACCTTGTAACATTCCTGTAAAGAATTTTTAAAAGGGAGGAAAATTCAAGCAGGGCAGTACCCATTCAAATGGATTCTCAAAGTTATTACAGAGGCTTAAGGTACACTACCAATTTTTGCTTTCTACTGCAAGCTTTCAGGCTTTTCAAGAAGGATTTTTTTCTTTCATTTTGCCTTTGTTGTTTCCTTAAATTGCTGGTGGCTCAGAGAGAAAATAAAAAACAATCATCTATTGGTACCAAGTGCAAAAGGTTCAGTACTGAAGGGAATGTATAAAAACGTCCTTTCTGTTTGAATATATTTTAAATATGGAAACCAATATGAAGAAAAACAAAAGGATCAGGATGACTCCTATAGGTTTATACCCTTGTAGAATAAGGAATATAAGTCAATTTTGAATGTTTGGCATGCTGAATTTGTTAACATATCACACTCTGTCTTGATTTAAGGTAGGATCATTCTTTTATATTGTGGATTGATGTCAACCTTGAAACTATACCCTTACAATGCCCACTTTAATTCTTTAAGCCATATGGCTGTTACCCAAACAAACAAGGTTGGTTTAACCAATCCATGTAACCTGAATCACTGATTTAGCAAATCTCTCCATGATGCCACAGAAATAAGTCCCCAGTACTTTTCATTTACACTAACCAATCTCTTCCCAAAGACAACATGAAGGAAGACATTGAGATTCCTCAATACATTTCTTGAATAAGGGAGCCCAGACCAGTGAGCCTCCTGGCAAGAGGTCCATATGATGGTGCAACTAGTTACCTAACTTAATTTTTACATTCTCTAAGGGTGATATGTAAACCCTGAAAACTGCAGACCCATTTCACTTGTTTTTCACTTATGTAAGGCTCTTTTATCACTTATAGCACTTATAGGAGGACTTACACATAAGTCATAATCTTATGCATAAATTAAATCATGTATACTGGGTGGGACAAAAGTTGCAGGACCAATGGGGCATTAATTTAATGTACTTTTCCATTTTGCTATTTAATTTTGCAATTATAAATAATTGATTGGAAGTAGTCTTAACAAAGCACGGTTTAGAGCACAGGAGAGAGCAGGAATGGGGTTTCTGTTTAGATGGATGCAGGATAAGGCATAACCCCACCTTGTATGTGCAATCTGAGACAACTCAAGCCAAGACTTCCTCGACAAATGGATAGGCAGGCACGGGTCTATTGAGTGGCCTCATCACTCCTGATTTGTCTCCACTTGATTTCTTCTCATGGGGACACCTGAAATCAGTTCTCTACAGAAGTTGACCTAGTACTTCTGAACATCTCAGGAAAGAAATCCAATGTACTTGTCAAGTCATCTCAGAGACAGTGCTTGACAGTGAATGGAAGGAACATGTCTAGCAGGATAAAGTTCAAGTTCTTACCGGGATAAACCAGTTTCTCAACTATATGTGATCTTGCGTGGCCATCGAATTCTTTTCCTTTCCACATAGTCCCAAACAGATGCTTTCAAGCACTGATGCACCCCTTTGATACCATTAAATAATGCACTAAGAGTCTCGCAGGGCTCTATAATGAGACTGTCACTGTAAATGACCTATCTACAGCCTAAAAGCACTGCTTGATATAATTATGTGCAATTGACAACACTATCCACTTTCCTTACCAGAACCCAGAATCCATTGAAATGAGACTCTCAAGACTTGACCAACTTATTCTTGTGGACAGCTACTGACAAAATGGTACTGAATGCTGAGAAAACATGTGCATACACCTTATCTATGGTAGATCCAGGTGTAATAACTATTCTCAACCCAAAAATAAGCTTAAGGGGAGACTATGAGCAAAACATCGCAATGCATTTGTATTGCATACAGTGACTATATCCAAAATTATGCCTACAATATTGGTGCCAGAAACCTGAAATTTTGCATGGACACTCAGAAACATGTTTGGACCAGTTTTGATTATTTTTTATTTTTATATGACTGAAGTAGGGAGCTAAGAGGCAACTGCCATGAAATTTTCTAATACTGTAACATGACATATTGTTCATTTTTGCATGGAAAAATTGGAAAATTCACTTTTTTGCTCCCAACAATCTGTAGCTGTCTGTTTTATCATGAAGTCCTATAAATTTTAAGATATTTGGTTGCTTTTTTTAGCTGTGGCTTGGGAAATGCCAGATGTACTAATATTTTAGTTTTTTGAGAATATCTCAGAAACCACTGGAGTTTGATGTAAAAATTATGTTGCAAAAAGATCTTGGGAATACCAGCTTTTCAATGGTACCAACAATTTTTATTTTCTGCAAAGCATCTCAATTTTTATTTTTTGCTTGTAGTCTCCCCTTAATCCCCCTACCCAGTACATAAGCTCATTCAGATTTCTGGGGTTCACTCTTGATAGCATGGTAACTCATTCTCCTCACAGCTCAAAGGTCACCAAGATCAAATTCATCCCATGAACCCACAATAATAAAAGCTCATTACTCAGGAAGTATGCATCCAATTTCAATGATATATGAACCAAACAATAGCCAATTCAATATAATTTTACTGTGGAAAATTTCAGCATTTCATTTTTTTTTTATAGAACCAAGTTACACCATAACAAAGTACCCATATCGTGCAACAAAAGCCTGTAAATATCACAATACCTTCTGAAATTTGCATTTCATTCGTGGGTTTTTCATGCAACATGAGGGATTGTCTGTGTTATGGGTGACCTCAGTATCCTTCAGAAGATGAATATTGCCATTTGGTTTGATAAATTGAAGAGAGCAAATTTGTGGAGAAAATTTGGAAATTTCTTCAGTTTGCGTACAAATGCCTCAGTTCTTGATATCATGAAGGCAATTCATAAGAGGTTTCTGAACCTGAAGAGATACATCGGCAGACCTATGACAACCTTGATATGCTGAAAGGCCATTAGAGATGCCTTTGCCACAGTGGGCCTAGAGTTGATTGACAGAATTCTGTTGGCATTCAAAGAGACTGCACCAAGTCGGTGAAAATTGTGGAAGTCACATTGAACACTAATGATTTGGCAGCTTTCGTTTGTAAGGATGTAACCTTTTCTAAGTTTCTTATGGAATGCTGAAATTTTCTACAATTAAAATATATTGAATTGGCTATCGCTTGAGTCATATATCATTGAAATTGGATGTATACCTCCTGAGTAATAAGCTTTTACTTTTGGGGAGGCAATTGTGGACTGCCCTCTACATACCTTCTCAACCCATTAAGCCAATGACTTTAGGTTCAATGCATTCAATGCTGTATTCCTTTTTTTTTTGTAACAAAGTACACATTTCACTCCTAACCTAACATCAAGCTCAAAAAAACTCGAACTAGTATACAATGCCCTTAAACTGTTTTCTTCCCTTTCTCTTATCAAAGTTTATCCAACCTTCTGGAAATTTTACATATTAGCTTCACATTGTGCCTCCCATTTCACATGCTGTGTGAAGAGTGATGTACAGACAAAAGGTTTTTTATTTTTTATATTTTGGTTTATGCTAGGCTGTCACGATGCCTGAAACAACTAATATGCAAGACATTGACCTGGATTTGCTAAAGAATAATCAACAATACTTATCTTTATCTACAATTCCCACTGTCAATGGGATATAGTTACATGTGATTGTACACACTATGCATGAATGGATTTGCAAGATGCACACTCAACAGGGCAAAGAACCAAGGTGCATGTGCCTCAAGCCTCTGTATGCAAGGATTTCATGTAAGTTTAATGTGTTCTTTGATACCTCACATGTAATGATATTGGTCATTTTTCTTGATCATTGATGCATAAAATTGAATCTTTAGGGAAGACTTTCAGCCAAAAAGCAAGAAGCCCAAATTTTTTCCTAGGCAGAATTAAAGTAGAGTTTTCATTAAAAAAATTTCCATTTTCCACCTCAAATTCTCAATCACAATGGCATTTGTATACTTGGACATTTCCACTTGATCAGCCTGACCTCTGCCAAAGTTACCCCATTCTGTGAATGAAGTTCATTTGGAGCTTTCAATGTTCATATAATGCAGACTGTGGCTGCCACCATATGTTCAGTTCATAATGGAGTAGTGCTTATCTGAAGTAAGGAAATCATGAAACATCTTGATTGTGAATTGAATAATCCAAGAAAAATGTAGAAAATAAATACCCCTATAAATGACCACCTGTGAGGAAGTTGAAGGTCTTGATTGCCATGAAGTTCAATACAAGCAACCACATCATGTATCCTCAAAGACTTGAAAATATATTTTCCAAGATCTGAGATCTGTGAAAAAGTTGATGACAAACAGTTTCTTCAATCTTGCCTGCAACTCTTCACAGGTGGAAATTAACATGAATTTCCATTCATGATTGGTCAATAATTTATGGGTTCCAAACATCTTCCTTCTCCTGAGTGACATGGACTCACTGCAAACTTCTGATTGTACATAATTCGTTTAGGATGCAGTTTCATGAACGGCAGGCCACTAGACATGCTGTATAGATTGGACAAGGCAGACTTCACATTTGCATATATTACAATGGAACTTCAATTTTTTTAATTCTGCAAAAGCAGAGCCAATGTATTATACAGAGTGGGCCAAAATAAACAAAGCTGTCATTTTTGGTGAGTCGTCAATCTCATTGAAGGCTGCCGATTCTGATTAAACTTAAGTAGGTTTATGGGGTGACACAATTCTGGCTCTAAAATTATAGGAGTTGTTATAGAATTATTTTAGATTAGAATTATTTTAATATAGAATTATTTTCTGACGACCCACAACAAAATGTGCTGTTGAAAATATCTAAATGAACCTGAGGCCAGGATGAATTGGGAGGACCGAATTTGTGACGTTCCACCCCTGCACGATGCTACAGAGGAAAATTTATAAGCACTGCCTCAAAGATTCATTGACCAAGCCATTGATCTGAGATGTCCCAGATTAGAGGCTTGTGTTCAACAGAATGGATGGCACATCAAACACCTTTTCAGTTGAAATGAACCTACTTAAACCAAATTGTGCACTATTTTGGCATTTTGTTTTCGTTATGTCAGTTTGGTTGTTTTTTTTGTTGTAAGTTGTGAGAAATTTAAAGTTTGAAGAAAAAATTAACATTTACTTTTTTTGGTGATGAGTAAATTAAATGCCATTCTCAGAGTTCTTGGAATTTTGATTTGAAACATGGCACACAAACCCTAATTGAGTCACCTTAGGTGCCTACCAAATTTCATCAGAATCGGCAGCTTAAAATCAATTGACAACACACCAAAAATGACAGATTCGTTTTCTTTTGCCCATCCTGTATATTGCATAAAAATTTGAGAGTTGCCATTTAAGCAACATGACTGTCACTGTTGCAAAGCTCTCCATCAGGACATTTGACAAAATGACAAAAGGGAACATAACCATTAGTGGAGAAGAATAGTGTTCATTCATTAGGGAAAGAAAAATGCACTCTGGTTGGGCGAAAATTCATCTTTGTTCACATTCTCCTTGTAAAATTTCTCAATTTGCAAAAAACCAATATTGTACACGGATCATGATCCATCATCTCTGTCTAAATACTGGATTCAACACCATTCCCTTCATCTCCTATAAACCACACATGACATCATGAGAATCATGCTGGGGAAAAAAATATCATCCTCTCTGTCGGTCTCTCAAATTCAGATGAGCCACCATTCTCTCCACGAACCTCAGTAAGTACAACGCATTTTTGATTGCGCAGATCCCATCATCGAGGAGAAACTCGATAGGAGAGTCACATACAAGACATTCAAACAGGAGCAAAAATATCACAGGTGCGAGAGACTTTTTCTGAGTACTCTTTGCCGGTAAAAAGGACAAAAAAGTTTTTAAAAAACTGCAAACAATCCAGAAAAAAAGTAAAAGGAGGAAAAATGCCCTTAGGAATTCTTTCCAAAGAGAGATTTCTGGGCGATGAGAGTCGGTATTGCTTCCTCATATTCCTTTTCATTTCTCGTTGAGGTAGAAGCTCTTCAATAACGAGGTGCATAAGCTCCTTGAAAAAGAAAAAACTCAAAAATACCTTCCATCAAACATGGGACATAGCATATAAAAAAAACTGAGCAAATAGGTTGGTTTTATATTTTCGCTGGGTGGCATAGCCGTCACAAAACAAAAGCATGGCACTGATGCTGATGGATGGGAGGGGATTTTTGAACTCTTCCACTTGGAAATTATTGCACTGGAAGGGTGGTGTGTCTTCAAGATTTTCTGTAGCTGCCAGAGGAAGCAATAAAAAAAAAAATTACTACAAGCAAGCATGTGGTAATTTTTCACTTCGGTCCATAGTATGAAGTCTGGGGAGGGCACTGCATGCCTCCGTGACCAGGACCAGGCCCTCCTTGCATTTGATTGGCTCCTGGCCCACTCCTGGTGTTGGTTGCATACAGCTGTTGCTGAAAGTTGTGGAATTGCTGGGCATAATTGGGGTCAGCTGTAGTCGGACCCATGAAGGCTGCATTCTTGAAACCACCACCTGAAGGTGGTAATGGCTGTGATGAGTCACTGGGAGGCATGCCAGGCCCTGGCCCCAGTCCAGGACCACCTCCATGTCCCATCATGTTCATTGGAGAACCTTTCGGCATGAACATTTGTCCATTGGGTCCACTTGGACACATCATTGGCTGGCCCATTGGAGGACCATTCCCAGGTACAAACATTCCATCACTCCCACCTGGGTTGGGATTCCCACCACCCGGATACATGTGAGGAGGACCAGGTACAGGTCCCCTCATCATGTGACGAGGACCACCCATATTGACGTTCATGGGACCCATATTCATGTTGGGGGGCACTCCACCTCCAGGTACCATCATGGGACCATTCATACCCATGGGACCCATTTGGCCCATTGGTGGTCCCATGTTAGGTTGGTTGGGACCATGGGACCCCTGGGGGGGTCCCATGTTTGATGGCGGTGGCTGACTCGAATTGGGCAAATACTGGAGATTGTGTGTTGGCACTTTTTGATCCATGTTCCCCATGGGGGAAGTGAAACGCTGCAAGAAGTCTAAACTTGGCGGACCACGGGGTCCTTGATTGTTCATGGTCTGAGGACGTGTTGGCAGGTACTGAATTGTGTTGGGTGCACTGGCTTTCACTTGAATATTGGCACCCTGAGTATAGACCGGTCTGGGTCCCATCATCCGCTGCTGCATCCCAGGCCCTGGTCCCATGTGACCTCTTGGAGCACCCATCACCATTGCAGCATTCTTTGGTGATCCATTTCCTGGATGCATTGGGCTGGGGCTGAATGCATTTGGGCCAGGACCAGGTCCTGGTCCCATGTTTTGAATGTTCATCTGTTGAATGGTCATAGTAGCATTCACATAGGTGTTGTTCACTGTTTGAGGTCCCCCAGGCATCATCATGCCCCCATTAGGCCCAGGAATCATCATGCCTGGTCCCATGTGTTGAGCCTGGAGATTAGTCTGAAAGGAGACCATCTGGGCTTGATTGGCATTGGAACAGGCCATCTGAGCTGAGTTCATTGCAGACATGCTTGTCATGCAGCCAGGACCTGAGGAAAAAAAAAGAATAATTATTCAAATCACCAAAGAGATACACACCCAATTCAATCAGTTTCTTCAGTGTTTTACTAACCCTGAGGAGGCATCTGAGAACACATGGTTGATGTGGGTGTACCAGTGGCACCACTTGTGAGTTGATGAGTCATGTCTGCCATGGACGAGATCGGATCAAAGTGCATTTTCCCTCCACCACAAGGACCCTTGCTGCCCACAACAGGTGGACCTGGATCTGCTGGATTCAGGGGTAGATCCATTGGTCCCGGAGGAAGTTTTGGGCTACTGAATGGAGATGGGTTCATCTTCATGGGCTGTGATGATGCAGGAGTTCCTGGCTGACCCTGTGGAGGTGTAGGGAATCTATTTCCAGCAGGACCCATCATGGAGCCTGCAGGATCTCCTGGAGCCGGACTCATCTGTGGACCTGAATGGGGGCTAGGTATTGGGAATCCCACTCCAGCTGGGGTTTTTGGCCCTCCACTTGGAGTTCCTGGCTGATGGGGACTGGGGATGGGAAAGGATGGTGTGTGAGGGGTGTTAGGTCCAGGATAGCGAGGGGGCATGGGACCAGGCCCAGTCTGACTTCCACCACTGCTTCCACTGCCATCATGTGGAGTTGATGTTGTGCTTGAGGGAGTTGTGGAGGTGTTAGGATGATGAGGGGGAGGTGGAGGTGGGACAGAAGAGGAAGACGCTGATGGAGTTACTGGCGTGCTGGGGCCTGTTCCACCCGATAGCCTTGGTGGCATGGGTCCTCCTGTTGTTGTTGCTGTCTGCTCGGCACTTGACGAATCCAGGCTGGACGGAGGAAGCCTGACATGAAAAGGATTAAAAAGTTTGGCTTTGACTTCAAAATGACAAAACTGGAATGGATACAAACAATTTCACAAAGACCTGGGCTGAATGATGAGCTATAGCATACAGTTCATGACCTTTACTTTCAACTTTTTCATAGCTAAATTGGCTGAAACTGGGTTGTCCTTTGTGAACCTTATCAGCCCAGATTGGCTGAAATGTATGAAGTGGAAACAATTATGATGTAGACAAGACAGTCATTAAAGAATAAACCTATCAATGAAATTGAAATTGTTAACATGAGATCACAATCCAGACTGTAAAATCCTAGATTCCAGCTAGGAGGAACAACCATGTAAAAACAAGAGGCACCTCCAGCCTTAGAAACTGTAACTTAAACTGAAAGAGTCCTAATGCCAAGCATAAATAACATCTACTGGTCAAATTTTCCAGTTGAAGGAATTAACTATCAATGGTTCATTATTTCTCCATTTCATGCTAAGTTCATTATTTCCCCCTCTTACATGGTACCAAAACAATGGAAAAACGAACCTTTTGCAATAAGTAACTCTGCTAAGACATTCAACTCCAGTGTAACTCTTACTAATACAACCCCTGCAATTAATAATTAGCCAGGTCTGTGCCTATGTAATCCAACACAAGTAATTAACTTTAGGGCACTCACGATGGAGACATGATGTCAGGGTCTCGTAGGCTAGTGTTGGGCTGTTTCTGGATGGTGAGCTCTTGCCCCTCAAAGGCATTGAGGTATTGGATCTGCTGGGGGGATGGCACAGGCATGAGATTGGGTTCCTTTGGAGTTCCAGCAGGAGAAGAATGCATTCCTTGTGGAGTTTGGACACTCCCTGGGCCTCCAGGCCCCAGTCCAGATCCAGGCCCAGGTCCTGGAGCCCCTCCACTTTTCTGCTGGGCTGCATATGTCTGCAGAGTCCTTCCAAACATCCCCTCTGCTAAGGTACCAACAAATGAGAATTAAGACCCACCCTCACCTCTGAAATCTCATTTGCACAATTTTAAATTGCCTTTTGCCTATGACTGAGCTCTTTTAATGGCAACACTGACAAGGAAGTGGATGCAGCAAGGGATAACAGTTCATATGGTAGAAGAGTAAATGGGAGTCATTACTGATGTAACCAGGAAATTCCTGAATTTTTTTCCTCTTTTCCTGCCACCTGTTATCCCTGCCTCCACACTCTGTCTTCTTTCATTGGCATTAACCCCTTAACCAGGGTGACTGTCTTTTAGCATTCAAAGTTCTGCTATTGTACTGCTCTCACCACCTTTAACTCCCTGGTTGAGAGGTTAATATTTGTTATGATGAAACTTGTAATAACATAATATAAATTTGACTGCAACAGTCCATCCGATACCAAGAAGCTACTGCTAGGATTAACATTTCACATGCAGTATCAAAGGGTGAGAATATCCTCTTCATCAGATTAACTGGACTTAACTAAGATGTTTTACTACAAGTACCAAGTTTCCTTTTCAGTTAGTTATAGATGTTCCCCAAAGTTCGGATAAATACACAGTTGCAGGCCTAGTTAGGGAGAATGTACTAAGAGATATCTCAAGGATTAGGTTTGAATTTTTTTTTCACAAGTTGATGTTATTGTTGAATGGAGTGTAGGCTAAACCATGAACATGAGTAAATAAGACTACACCTATAGTACAGAGAGTCACTTGTCAGAAGCAGGACATGCTTCCCAAGCCCAGTCTCACCTGCAGGGTTAGGTGTTAGAGGGTTAGGAGTGGCAGGGTTACTTGTGGCAGGAGATGGATGACCCTGTCGTGAACCAGGAGGTCCTACACCTCCACCCCCAGGAGAATAAGGGGGGGGAGGTCCTTGTTTTCCACTCCCACTCCCACCGTGGGGCGTACCCATCTGGGAATGAGGAGGAGGTGGTGGTCCAGGTCCCTTCCCCCGTCGATTCTCATAGAATTCCTGTTGCAGCTTCTGCCACTCCATGTGAGCAGCCATTGAAGCATGTGGGGGTGGTCCAGGTCCCATCATCCCCATGGGTGGTGTCTGGCCTCCATTTGGCATCATCATTGGCATCCGTTGCTGGGGCATCATGTTTGGGCCACCACAATACATCATGTTAGGCTGCATCTGAGGTCCTGGACCCATCATCATGGGGTTACCTGAGCACATCATTGGTCCTTGCTGCAATAAAAGAAAAAATTAGCCATGTAACACCATCATATTTTCTCCTAGTCATTCTGGCATCCTTATTCAACACCTTCACTACCAACATAACAGTATTCCAGCATTGGAATTAATCATGCTCTAGAAGCCCAAAAGCAATTGGTCTTTTTAGACACTATGGGCTCAAAACAAGCTTTTATGTGGATGATCATCTTCATCAGCATCTCACCTTCAGCTTTTGCTTTAGTTTTAAGCCTCAGAATCTGCCTAGTAAGGTTAGAACATTAGCAGTTCATGGAATGTGTTGCACAGACTATCCTGTGAACAATTCAAACTAACCGAGAATCATGAATGACAGAAACCATGGGAAAGAATGTGAAGGAGCTAGGCCAATACACCCTGTATTATGGATACTAGTCCTAACTCAAACTGGAAGTGTCCGACTGGGTATCATTTTTTTATGTCTCTAGCACTGTATTCCCTTCCACAGTACAGAAAAATTTTTTTTTTTTATTATAACCAATTGTCATTGCTCTATGTCCTTTTAGGGAGAAACTGCATACAAGTGATCCTTGAGCAGGACACCTTTACATGTTTTTGATAAACTTGAAGGACCTCTTGAGGACTGTTTTGAGAGCAGATAAGAGCTGAACATGGGAATTAAAAGCTTGCTGATTCTATGATCATCACTAAATGCCATGGCTTTTAAGATGACCCCAGCAAAAGAAAATCTAGGGGCCAAGTAAAGTGACCTGTCTGGCCATTCTATGACACCTACTCTGCCAATAGTGTCCATTCTTCACTCTTGTAATTCATTGAACAACAAATTAGATTGAAATATCACAAATATTAGTAGTTTGTTTCAGGGAGCATCAAATACTGAAATAAAGGGTGCTCCAAAATCTACCAATATGAGAAAAAAGTATACTGAAAGCCTCTGCAATGATGCCCAAGTCAAGTAAATAATGGTCACATAAAAGCATCAATTAAAGAGGGGCAAAAAGCCTTATGAGTAAGCTCATATGAAAGGCCACTCATAGTAACCTGCCCATATATCAACAGTTTGAGCAGACTGGTAACTAGAGAAATCAGTATTGATCACATTCCCTTTTTTTTCTTTTTACCACTGAAAGATGGTCAAACTTTGGTGATGATCTTGAGAATCTTATGATGAATCCTCATTTGGGCAGGAAATAGGTGCCTTTAAGATGCAGAGCTCTTCCCCCCCCCCCAGGAGTCCATGGATTTGACCACCAAACCAGAGTATACTTGTTTTCAAACTGGCCAGAAGAACATCCATTAATGCTCAGATATTATGAAGAAACTAAACTGTATTCTATATTATACCTTTTGGAATAAAAGTAATTTAATTTATAACCACAAAAAAAGCCACAATGTTCTCAATGGACTGAAGCAATGGAAAAACCATGACATGGGGCAGGTGCTGCTCACTTTAAAACTCTTCAGTGAAAAGGTTAAAGAAAATTTAACCAGAGGAGGCTTCGGCATTCAGGCCAATAATATATTTTTTTAGGAAAGAGTTGCACACCCAAGGAACTCTTGTTCCATAGAGTCACATCATACCAGAATGTTAAGTTGAATAAGTATACTAATAAAAAAGCACTTGTGTACAAATGCATTTCAAAGTTTCCTTTTTCTAAGCTTAAAGGAAACATAAAATGTGTCAACAGGAAGCAGAAAAAAAAAAAGAACCAATAAGACCTACCTTGAGGTCTCCTGGACTCAACAAGTCCAAAGTCTTGTTTTCATTCCTTTTTTGTTGTTAAACCTGATAAGATTCTTATTCAGCCCTTTGTGAATGTTTTGAAAGCCTAGAAATGCTGTAGAAGCTTGTTGATAAAGTTTGGAAAGACTATTGGCCTACCTGCATGGACATGGACATGGATGCTTGGCCAGCTGAGCACGATGTCATCGTCATTCCAGCACCCATGTGCATACTGGCCTCTGAAGACAGAGCAGAGCATATGGAAGACGGCATGGCACATGCAGATGGAGCTGCAGAGCAGGGCATCATTCCAGGTCCTGATGTGGATACAGGTTGTGGCTGTTGTGCACTGGGAGGACGGGATCCACTCTGGGACTGCTGTGGAGGCATCTGCTGAGGTTGCAGGGGCACCTGAGATACCACACCTTGATTCCCATGCCCTTGTTGCTGTTGATGTGGTGGTCCACCTTGCTGCTGTTCTGGGAAGAGCATCTGCTGAACCTTGCGTAGGGTTGCAAGCTGCTCTTCCCTGTGCTGCCTCTGCTGTGGGGTCAGGACTTCATCTGGGAGTTTCACACCTTAGTAGAGTATCCATGAAAATCAGTAGTGCCAGGAATTGCTATCCTTTTTGGACAAAAAACTTCTGAGGTAAAAACTTACTGGACAGTGATGGTTGCTGCATGGGACCTGGGCCCATCATAGAGGTGTTGGGACTGGGAACACCCATCATTGGACCTTGTGGACCACCTGGGCCTGGACCAGGTCCATGCACTGGCATAGGAACAGGGCCACCTGGTCCTCCCGCCATCCTCTGAAAAGTGAGTATGTGAATTAGTCAGTATAAATATCTTCTGGTCAATGTGCACAGAAATTAATTCATTTGGAAATACAGACCTGGTTTGGAAGACCACCAGGGCCCATGTGACCAGGAGGTCTCATGGGTCCAGGTCCCATCATAGGACTCATCTGCCCTGGCCCAGGTCCTCTCATTGGACCCATCATGCCACCTACAGGCATCATCCCTGACATGGGCATCATGGGATCACCACAACCCTGGAATGAACCAATGAAAATGATATGAAATGATCTTTTCATTATTTGTCAACATCATGGAATATTTTACCATCCTAATTCAATGACATATAGTTGAAGCAATAAAAAACAAAACATTAACCTGATTCCATTGAGGTGCAGACATTGGACCTGGTGCCATAAAATCAGGTCCACCTGGACCATACATTGGACCTCCAGGACCCATGGGACCACTGGGTCCCATGGGACCTGGCATGGAAGGGGGCATATTCTTCATTCCTCCCTTCCCTTTCATTTGTACCAAGTTGTTGAGCCACTGAGCAGGATTTTGCTTGCTGAACTGGTTCACCTTTAATGGATACTTCTGCAAAGGTGATGGTTTGAGGCTTTAAAATCATGGTATGCAGAATGGTTGTAATAGATGAATGAATGAGAATCTTACGTCAAGAACCTTCTTGGTACCAGGCTGTGAGCAGTGGAAGGCAATGATGGAGTTAAACTGACACTTGATGACAGCCTCAGCTGCTTGGTTGGCCATCTGAGTTGAGAAGACAAAAATCTGACTCTGCTGCTGCATGTACTGGGCTTCCAAGGTACTAGGCTGCTTGTGGGCACCCAAATTGGCAGGGACAGGCTGACCCTGGGACATAGGCATTGCACCAGACATGGACATGGGCATGCTCATTGGACCCCCCATCATGTTGGGTCCTCCTGCCATGGACATTGGTGGACCCTGGGGCATTGAGGGCTGCACCTGATGAGGATCCGCTCCAGCCATGCTACAACTCGCTGCAAGGGAGGACATTGCTGACAAGGGCACTGATGGATCTGCCAAAAGACAGAAAGTCATTTCCAATTGACAGGAAAATGAGATTACTGGCATCACAAGAAAATATACAAACCGTTTTTGAACTCAGGGGGTTCATCCTTTGGTAAGCAAGTATCTGTTCCACTGTTGTCAGCTGACGAGATGCCAACCTGTGACTGGGAAGTTGCCAAACCTCCATTTCCACTGCCACCCACTGTAACAAGACAAGAAAGCATTTTGAGGACTAATTGTGGTGGAAACAAAATTTTGGATTGACCCAATAAATTTCTCCTCCCTCCCCCCTCAAATAGGTAGCTAGAGTGACATGGCACAAAGTAAAAATAAAATAAAGACATTCTTTTTCATTATGTGTTTCAATGAAAATAACAAACTCAGTTAATTAAATAGTATATCACCATATCACAACAATGGTAATCAATGCATAATGCTAAAAAAAAAAAAGAGAAATGTGAAAACAATTGAACCAAGCTTAGGGCTTCAAGGGTCCCAATCAAACCAGACAGACCCTTTTGGCCTAAAGGTGGGCAACCTTCCTTCCACCTCAGCGTGATGAGTGTGTTCATTAGATTGTTTATATTATAGATGGGATATTTCACATATTGTACGAAATGATGATAATCATGGCAAAAAAATCCCTCCTTCTCCTTAGAGGACCTCTGAACTGCACTGCACATCATTCTGAGTCCCAAAAATTAAGCTCATGCAAATACTGGCATTTGAGCACAGTGAAATACTCCAATTGGTATTGATTATCTCTACCTGAGGATTGACCTAATATTCACCTGATTTATCAGCAGAATATTGACTTCTGTGCTTCAACAGAGGAGCACACTTCACAGGCAGTCATATACATCAACTACTTCAGAGACAGATAACTAGTTTACAGTTAAACCACCACTTTTGCAAAGTAATTTCAATTTCCAGCTCACTGGTTTCACAAAGTACCAGTTGTAAGTTAATGACTAATTAGTTAATGTTGAACTATTCTTGACAATTTGTTAATGAAGACTGGTCTGGTACTCCAGTAAGATATTGTTTGCTGAGTAAGATTCACCAGGAGATGAATGTTTTCAATATGCATACACATTTTTTAGATACAACCTCCATTTGCCATTGAATGTTATGACAAAATGATAGAAAGCAATAGAAGAAAATTACCAAGATCTGTTTTAAAATGACATGGCAAGGAGTTAAACAGAGATCAGTTTAGTTGCATGAAAAGCAGTTGCAATTACAAGTTTCTGATTGAAGTAGTTGTAACATGTAGTTACATAGAAATAAACTAATGTAACGGATAAATGAATAGTATACTGGTGACCTTCACTCTATTTGGGAGAATTGAGCCAAGACTGTAAAGAAGCAGGTCTGACGATGTAAGAGAACAGACGAATTAGATGTAAAATCAGATCAGCGAGATCAAGGCTGTCAGCCAGCAACACTCATCCCAAGCTGGATTGCGTTTCTCAAGTGCGTGGCATGCATTCATTCCTGATATGACAGCCAAAAAAGGGTTGGGTGTATCTGAATATCAAAATTCTTCATGGAGAGGGTGCGATTGGACAACAAACATTGGGATTCGTTTGCGTAGCATAAAAGAAAAAAATGCCATGCCCCAATCCTGAGAGAGATGACGTCAAAGGATCGCTCCCTCACTCTTTTCCTCTCGTTCCCCCCCCCCCCCCCCCCCCCCCCCCCCCCCCCCCCCCCCCCCCCCCCCCCCCCCNTTTCCCCCCCCCCCCCCCCCCCCCCCCCCTTCTTTCTCCTGAAGATAGGGCAAAAGATGCTTCGGCCACAAATCAATCGCGCTAGGGTTGTGTGGTTATCGGGAGCGGGGATGAAAGGAGTTTGAGAAAGAGTGCAGATCTCGCAACACCTCATGAGATATACTTTCTCCCGGGCTAGCCCTATTGAAAAGAGTACTAGGGCCATATCCATAGCCCCCAGGGACCAGAGAATAATTATTCCTTTCTCCTAGCCAAGTTTCGGCTTCCTCAATCAATGGCGAACGAAAGAGTGAGACTTGAGGGATTTTCATGGTGGGCGTGAATAAAATAGGAGTAATGATCCTCCTACTTTTCTCCATAGGTGAGCTGCCTATGCGTACCACTCAAGGTCGATACCGCCTGCTCTCGCCAGTCTCCGGCTACTCATCGATCTGTATACAAGCAGGGGTAACGGGGGTATCCTCTGGAAGTGAGGAGGCATGGAGAACCCCGACCCTGCCGTAAATGTTTTATTTGGCCGATATCAATTCAACAAGAAAAAGAAATCCAAGCCTTTGCAGGGGCATGCACGGATAGTACATTATAACAGGATATTTGGAACTCCTCGAAATATGATGAAAAATGGAACTGATAGTAAACGGACAGGCCTAGCTACAAGCAAGCTCCTGGGAGCTGGTCGTCCATGATGAGTCGAGGGACTGAAAGCGAAGTGGTTGTTTCCCAATTAGGGACTGGTCATGTGGGAGACCCACAACAGGTTTCCCCTCATTCCAAGGTGAAGACTCCTTCCATCATCCATCCACAAGCATGACTATTTGTAACGTTTTTAAATACCAGCTTGTAGCTCTATGTGGAACACCAGGTCCGTCAGGCAGACACTCTTCCTCATACCATTCTTTCAACTCGGGGATTTCTCATGTATGCTGGCACCGTTGATGGAAAAAAAAGCTGTTTAGTTCAAATATGAATAGCTCATCAGAGAAAATCACAGAGAGTAAGAAAATTCAAGTAATATAAAAAAGGGTATATTTGATATGTGAAAGTATAGCTGGCGCAGGAATGAACCGAGAATGAGCAGTCGGAACTATCTTCATCAGAAGATGGAGACGAAAAGGATTTACGACTTCGGTGCGTCAATAAATAAGAAAGGTGGGCACGGGGAGGGGAGGGGGTGCCAGGAGAAAAGGGGGATTATACATAGGGAGGGTAGATGGGAGGAAGCGGAGGAGGAGAAAGGGATGAGAGGCGGAGGCAAAGGAGGCAATATCTTCATCGCCCAGAGAGAGGGAGAGAGAGGAAGGAAGCCTCCCTTTATATCGATCTATCAACAGACTCTCGGGAGACACAAGCCTCTCAGAAGGAAGAACGCATCATGCAGCAAGGCCATGATATCTCCCAGATTTTTTTCCCTTCTCAAAGATCTTCCTACACACCCTCCTCCCTATAACTCTCATGCTCCATGTCACACGCCCGTCATGCGTGGCAATGCATTGAAAAGTGGGAAAACCTATCACATAATCTCTCACTTAATTGTGGGAGGACTGACCGCAACCCTGCGCAGCAGCGTAGGAACGTATACCTTGTTCCTCCAGGAAGAAAAAAAATTCAGTCTTTCTTCGAATGCTGCATTATGCATTATACTGCGTCCTATGTTCTCCTACCTGGGGGTCCAGGTGGAGACCTGTCGCGTTTAAGTCTGGGAGAGGCCGTGTGAAGAACCTCTGGAGTAGGGGCCAAAGTCATCCCTGGTCACATGCACACACTCCACACACACAAGTGTCAACCATATGAGTGCTCTTTTGGGGGGGAAGAAAGACCAAGAAGGAGACGAAGGAGCACATGATTGGGTGTAGAAGCCCCAGATAAGGGGGAGAAAGAGGCGGCTCATGATGCCTAGGCTAGAAGAGCATAACAAAGCCCTTGCCCTCTGGCGTCTTTTTACCCTCCCTATAGTCCTCCCCTCTCTCTAGTCTCTCGTCTCTCTCTTGAACAGTTATTCCTCCTCATGTCCATGCCATCACACGCCCTTCGGCTATCCAGCTATTTCAAAGTCACTCTACTAAGGCCGAGTCACACTTAGGAAGAAAGATACGCGTTATGATCCGCACCTATCGCTGCATAGTTCACCTCCATTCCGTGTTTCCCACGAGTCTCTCTTGTCTCATTGTGTTCACTCACACATTCGCTCTCCCATCCTTGTTTTTCGCATGTATCCCACACTACATGTATCCCCCCCTCATCCTGTCTGACAAAGCCTATAGGAATGAAACAGACAGGGCCCAAAACATTCAAGTCCCTCATACATCGTGTCACTCCGGTACTTGCATTCGTCCCAAAAAATATATTTTACCTACATTCAGATGTGTCTCATGCCCCCAAGCGTGATGATCCCGTGAAGCGGGATGAGTTAAGAAACCGGGGGAAATTTGTTGTTTACACGATGCAAGGTCTCTGTGGAAGCCAAGTTGTGGGTTTAGAGAAAAAGAGACACGCAGGTAGGGGGAAGAGAGAAGAGGGTGCCAACAGACAAGGAATTTCTCGCAAAAATAGAACACTCTTTCTTCTTCCTCCTCTCTCTGGAGTTTTGGCACAGGGACAGGAATAAAGAGGACAAGGGAGACATCCAGATCTCTTCGGTGTGACCAGCCACCTTACCAATTCCCTGTACTGTATACGGCCTTCATGTTTCTGCCACAACTGTTTTAACCCAATGCCCTCATTCCGCATGATTGAAATACATTATCAACTCATAGGCGGAACATTTGATCATGTGTCGGTAAGCCAGCTCGAAATCAGCAACAGCTGGGCGTTTGTCGCATAGAAGCGGGATTCCTGCACCTCTCCATCGACCCGACCTATGTCTCGCAACCTTTGCTAAAATTACGTTTCGGCCATGCGACACATGGGAGAGGAGAGTGTTACGGAAAACGAAATACAAACTAAACCAAATAGATTCCAGTCCTTCCATCTTTCCTTTTATTTGATGCGATCTCGACCATCTCAAGCCATCGTTATCATCAGGGCTTACTGGGAAAAAAAGTATGCAAAAATCAATTAAATAAATGTGTCATCATCCAGATTCACCGAAAACCCTTCACACTCTTTACTCAAGTAATTTTTAGCATCAGTACGTCCTTTCCCACTTAGTAACAAAGTGAAGAAAGTTATTCTCATGGGCCTCTATGCCCTTAGCTTTGCATGTCTCTCTACTGAACCTTATAGCTGCAAGGTGGTCAACGAAAATAAGGAAAATCCAAGAATTAGTGTTGGCATAAGACATGTCATCTCTGATGATACCTTCAACCCAAGAGAGCCTGAAGTCAATCTTAAGAACGGCTGTAAAGTTGCAACATATTCAGGTAGATGCTATGAAAATGGCAGTTACTCTTTTACTACAATTCCCTATCCTATATGAGGTTGTCCAGTAAGCATGAATATTGACTCAGCACAACCATTGGGATTTAATATT